CCATTACCATGAACAAAATTACCAACTAACTGTACTCAGTTTCTACATTCTGTTCAAATTAACACAAGAGCACTCATGCACACATGCCATGTATGAGCACATACATTGTTTTTTCTTGAGACAAGGTCTCATTTTGTATCTAGGCTGGCCTTGAACTTTTTTTTTTTTCCCCAAAACTTCCTATCACTTTAACTTTATTTATTTATTTTGACAATTTACTGTCCAAGTATTGTGCTGCCATCTTAGGGAATTTTGTACATTTCCTTTTTAATTTTTAAAATTTAGATTCTTTAATTACTACTTATATTTACATATCCATCCCCCCATTCCCTCGCCCTCCCATCCTCCCATGTTCCCCACTAACCCTCCCAACCCATCCCTCAACTCCTCCCCAGGGATAGTGAGGCCCTCCACCAGGGACCTTCAAAGTCAGTCATATCATTTGGGGGCGGGACTAGGCCCTCCTTGCTGTATCTGGGCTGCAATAGTATCTCTCCATAGGGAATGGGCTCCCAAAGTCTATTTGTTCTCTAGGCTTAAAAGACCCGCTCCACTGTTAGAGGTCCCATAGACTGTCTTGGCCTCCTAGCTGGCACCCACATTCAGAGGGCGTGGTTCTATCCAATGCTGTTTTCCCAGCTTTATGACTAGGGGCTGGCTTAGAAACTTATGGTGATCCTTTTGCTTCAGTTTCCTGAGTGCCGAGATTACAGATGTGCACCTCCATACCTAACTTCCTTAATGTTTCTAGGTTCTTGATTTTCTTTGAAGATTTATGTATTTTATTTTTTATGTGTATGAGTGTTTTGCCTTAATTTATGTCTTTGTGTCATGTGTCATGCATAAGTCAGAAGAAGGTGTTGGATCCCCCAGAACTGAAGTTATGGATGAATTTGAGTTACCATGTGGGTGCTGGGAATCAAACCTGGGCCCTCTGCAAGAACAACAAATGCTCTTAATTGCTAAGCCATCTCCCCACCTCTTATGTTTTATTTTAAAGGACATTACTGTCATTATTAATAAAAGGTCTAAGTGACTGAAGTCCTGACTTACTATGAAAATATAACTACATCTAAGGGGAGCACTCCAATTACTTTTGTTGCTGATCCACGTTGACCAAAATCAACTTGGGGAGGAGAGGGTTTAATCTTATAGGCTAGAGTCCGTCATCAAGGGATGCCAGTGCAGGGGCTGAAGGAGGAAACCAACTCAGTGTGTGTATTAAATGGAGTTATATAACACACTGATAATGCTCCTTGTAGGAAACACAGACTAACAAAAAAAGCCCCAGTGCCAAGCAAGGAACATCCCCTTTCTCAAGTTATTGGTCTCTTGGATCCCCCAAACAATATAGGCTATTTCCACTATTCTTAGTTGCACACCAAAACATCACACACTCCATACACACACACAGGACTTGAGGAATTAAGCTGGCATTGATTTGGAAATCATCTTTCTGAGAGCTAGCTTTCTCAGTTTCTTAAGGTACTATATAAGCTTCCAAGAGAGGAAAGTTATGAATAATCCTACTCAGGTGTAAAGCCTATGAGCATAACAATGACAGACCTGCACAATCCCCTGAGCATGGGAAGAGGGGGGAGGGAGCTACGAGAATGAGAAGGGAAGAAGAGAAAGGATGCAGAGGTCATGAGGGAGCAGAAAGGTGGGGTCAGGTGAAAATTTTATTAAAGGAGATGTGATAGTTAGGGTTTTAGTTGGGGGGGTGGAAGGGGAGGAAGGGAGGGAGAAGGGAACTGGGACTGTCATGTAAATCAATCTTGTTTCTTATTCAAATAAAAAAATGATAAAAAAAAAGACAGACCTGGCAAGATATTCCCAATGGTGCAATAGTGCCACTTTCATCTTGGGGGTAATCAACAGTTGTCTAATTCAATAGGAGGAAATTCATGCCTGATATTGTAATCTAGAAAACTACTCATGGATAGAGAGATAACAGGATCCTAGAAGAGAACCTACTACTGCAATTTTTCTAAATCAATATAGTTTTTAATTGTATTTTAATACTTATTCTGATACCCCTAGATTAAGCAGAGTTCTCATTCTGCATCAAAGAAGCTTCTGTTTGAAGAAGACAGAGGCTACTACAGAGATCCAAAACTGGTCAAAATGAAAAGAATACGTGACTGTGGGGTGCCTAATTCTCTATTGGCACATCAAGGCTGGAGAGATAGTTCATCAGTTAGTGCCTAGGCTCACAACCAACATATCAACTGGTCTATCTACAATACAATCCCTATGCCTAGGGCTCAGGAAACACTGTGGAGAGTTGGAAAGATTGTAAAGGCCAGAGGACCAGGACCTAAGCTTCAAGTTAGTGTCTTCTATATATGACAGGGATGTTGCACTCATGAAATCTCAATATGGCTGTCTAAAGATCTACATAATGACCACATCAGCTGTAGGGCCAGCAGGGGTGTGGGGATTTCCACAAGGTTCAACCCCCCCAGATGAAGAGCTACAGGGAGAATCAGTTTTCTCTAGAAAACAGTTCTGAGGCTGGGTTTTAAAGATAGATAGAAAGGGAAGCTTTGAAATAGAAAAATGAAAACAAAGCAAGATCCCAGTCAGAGTTACTGGATTCAAGTATATAGTTGGGAGTCAACTGTCTAGGCAGGTGGCAGACTTGTTACTCATATGAACATCTGGGAGTATTGGAACAGCAATGGTGGAATATCCAAATAAAATTTCAGGCCAAGATCACATTTAAGTAGGAATACTCCTTGGAAGGTTGGTTAGTTTTAAGTTGCTTACTTCATGGAGTATTTTGACTTATTTCTCTTAGTGTACTTAGCTACTATCTGATGCTATGCTACTTTTATAGAAAACTGATTTTAAAAAGATCTTTATTATCTAAATGGGACTCCAAGAAGGAGGCAATGTAAGGAAACAGAAATTAAATCTAGAGATGACTGGAGAGGATGGCCTACACTGGGGCCTGGACAACCACTGTGATAGCAAGGAAGATAAGAACAGATGCAAAGAATATAAATGCAGTAACATAAAATGGAATCCTTTTGTGATACTTTCTCTTTTCTCAATGAAATGGCAATTGAGGTTACTGTATTAGTTACTTTTCTATTGCTCTGCTAGAACACCATGACCAAGGCAACTTACATAAGGAAGAGTTTATCTAAGCCTTAGGGCTGCAGAGGGTAAGAGTCTATCACCATCATGGTGGGGAAGTGTGGCAGCAGTCAGGCATAGTGACTGTGGCAGAAAGCAGAGATCTCATATGTAGAACCCTAAGCAGAAAGCACAGAGAGAAACTGAGGATGGTGAGAGAATTTTAAATCTCTGAGGACCTGTGTGGTGTGCTGTACTCATTCAAGAAGCTGAGTATAACCAACTGAAAAACTCCAGTTTTTCCTTCCCAGAGCTTCATCTAGCTTTACCATATATCATACAAGGTAAAAATTTAAAATATAAGAGCATATTAGTACTTTTTAGTCAAAGATCAACCAACTATAAGCGTTCTTTAATTAAAAGCAATGTGGCATAATATATGCAACATTAGTGTAAATTACTCTGATATTAATTTCCCATAGTAGTTCTCAAAAAAGTCTGTAGCTATAGTCTATTTTAACTTTCCAGATGCTGCCACTAGCTGGCCACATGATCAAGTGACCTCCAGTTTGCAGTAAGACACATGGACCACTGTACTAAATGAAATAGAATTATTTTTAAAAAATTATTATTTTTACTGACTTTTTGTGAAATTTTATACCTATATACGATGTAATTGATCAAATCTACCTCACTTCCCAACTTCATATCTTCTGTCTTGTTCTGAAAAATAATGAGTCCAATTTGTGCTACCCATATACATACAGGAGTGGGGACATCCACTGGAGTGTGGTCTCTTCCTCCCCATCTAGCCATCAACTGTCAATAGCTCTTCACTTAGGAAGTGGGGGAGGGTCATGAGCCTTTTCTCCTCCATGTTAAAAATTATTATTAAAACAAAAAAGTGATGAAAATAGCATATTCAAAAGCCCTAGTATGATGCCTGAATGAAACAAAACTAACAACTAAAACAACAAACTGAACACTGGAGCCAGCACTTCCTGTGCCATGAAGGACATTTACCACATTTCACACGTGGGATATGGTTTTTTGTCATTCAGAGAAAGGGCTTTGGTAGAGACACACTATAATTGACCTGGGGTTCCAGAGTCTTTCCTCTCAGGGAAAAGGTGAGCCACACCTGAATTCATGTCCCTGATAAACTATGAGGCATGCTAAATAATCCTGAAACCACTGTATTATGTGGAATGTTCACTAAATTAATAAAACAAGGTATTTTATTTGACTTATAATACCATTTTTTCTTTCTCTTTTTGGTGTGTGTGTGTGTGTGTGTGTGTGTGGTGTACACATATATGCTTCTGTGCATAGGTATGTGTCCATGCAGAGGCCAGAGGTCACTATCTCATATCTTCCTCAATTAATCCATCTCTCAGGGAACCTGGAGATTAATGATTTGGCTAGTCTGGCTGGATGTCAAGCCCTAGGATGCCCTCTTCTCAGTGCTAGTGCACACCACCATGCTTAACTTTTTACTTAGGTGCTAGGGATCTGACATCATGGGTGTCATCTACTATTTTTTTTTTTTTTTTTGAGACAGTCTCTCACTGACTAGGAACTAAATAAGTAGGCAAGGATGGCGGGCCAGTGAGCCCAAGTATCTATCTGCCACTAAAACTAGTGCTTTTTTTTTTTTTTTTTTTTTTTTAAAGAACGTGGTTTTGGAGGATCTAATTCAGGTTCCCATGCTTGCTAGTGTTTTACTGAGAGAGCTATCACCCACTCCTCAGAATTATACATTAAACAAACAAACCAAATAGAAGAGAACAATAAACTATAGTTTTAAATCATTTCTTCTGTAAAAAATCTATTCTTAAATAATTATTAATAGTAAACTTACTTTGTATTGCTGTTTTGTAAAGCAAGTATCAAGCAACTACAAACAGTGGACCTACTTTAGACTGTTGATCCTCATTTCTGCACATTCAGTAAGTTTCTTTGTTTCTTCTTTCCACCTATTGGCTGCCTTTTGTTGAGCTGCCAATAGATGCCTCAGTTCAACAATGGAATTCCGATTACTGTCCTCCATCTCTCTCAACTGAACTTCAAACCCATGTTCCTTTATTGAGAACTGATGCTCCATTGTACTGACCTAAGGAGTAAAAGGAACAGTTATTTTCCTCTCAGGATTCTAGGAGTTATGTGAGCCAATGTCATACACAAAAAGAGTAATCCATTGTCCTTATGAGATTTAGAAACCTCTAGGTGAGGCATCTAAGTAAGCAGTTAAGCATACAATTTGTCTCCACCATGAATGAAATGGATGTATACTTTAGTGAAAACACAACTACCATGGACTGTGTGTGTGGTTTTTCAAGACACACTTTTTCTGTGTAGCCTTGGCTGTTTTGGAACTTACTCTGTAGTCCAGGCTAGTCTTTAACTCAAGAGATACACCTGTATCTGCCTCCCAAGTGCTGGGATTAAAGCTATGTGCCCATATATTTTATTTTCAAGTTTGTAAAGTAGTACAAATTACTTTGCATATGTAATGCAAAAGATGAAATGTCATTTTATCTTTTAAATATGGATCTAATTGAATTAGTATTATAATTGCAAAAATAATTCTTTTCCTCTTGAACCACAGTGTGCTTCTGCTACAAAATTAGGTCATCATTACAACATAATTTATTTCTGGACTTTAGTTTGTGCTACTGATCAATACAATTATTTTGATGTTGACAATACGGTCTAATTACTGTAGCTTTATACAGATATGGTTCTTTTTCATATTTTACAGAGTAAAAATCTTTGTAAGACACATGACTATTTTTTTCATTTCTGACTTCATATCCTTATGAATGCTTACAGTCCTGGATACCTGCAACAGAAGACAGTCAGTAACTGCATGTTGATAGGAATTAGGTCAGAACATGACATCTTATGATTCCTTGCAGCAGCAATAAACAATGTGAAACAACAGTATTGCTACTTTATTTACATTCTCACTGTGAGCCTGAAAGATGAAGATCTTTACTATAAAAAGCTAGTGCCATTTACAAAAATATAATGGAATGGAGGGAGATAAAAGAGATGTTGATGGAATACCATGTGTTTCTTGGAAGTGCCTTAAATGGATTATCACAGGGTAAAGGAAGAGGAAAGGGGAGAGAAAATAAAAGGTAAGGATTTTTCTCAGATGAGACTTTTGCCCTGTGCATTCTTCTTGCTGCTGTTTTTACACTAGCTAGGAGGTCCTCTCAGAGAAAACTGATAGAACATCCTCTTACGGATGTTGAAGAAATTCAATGTAAGAAATTAATGAAGGAGAAAGGATGGCAGACTAAAAGCTGGTAGTGCCCAAGTTGCTTTGGCAAGATCATTTTGTTGTATGGCTGGAAAATATTTTTTAAAAAATTTGTACGTAGAGAGAAGATAATCAGGTTCAAGAATGCTGGATGGGGGATGGGAACATGAGGGAATGGGATGGTTGATTTGGAGGAGGGACAGAAAGGGGGAAAGCAATGAAAAAGATATTTTAATAGAGGGTGTGATTATGGTATTAGGGAGAAACCAGGTGCTAGGGAAATTCCCAGGAATCCATAAGGATGACCCCAGCTAAGACTCCTATCAATAGAGAAGTGGGTACCTGAACTGGCCTTCCCCTATAATCAGATTGGTGATTATCCTACTCTCCCTGTCATCATAGAACCCTCATCCAGTAACTGAAGCAGATGCAGAGATCCACAGCCAAGCTCCAGGAGTCTAGTCAAAAGGAGGGAGGAGGGATTGTATGAGCAGGGCGTGGGGTGAAGGGGTTGGGGGGTGGTCAAGATCACTAGGACAGTGAAACCCACTGAGACAGCTGATCCGAGGTTGTGGGAGGTCAGAAACTCCAGACTAACAGCTAGGAAAGCTGCATGGGACCTATCTAGGCCCTCTGTATGTGGGAGACAGTTGTGTAGCTTGGTCTTTTTGAGGGGTCCCTGACAGTGGGACCAGGATCTGTCCCTGGTGCCTGAACTGGATTTTTTGAACCCATTCCTTATGGTGGGATGCCTTGCTCAGCTTTGATGCAGGGGGAAGGGCTTGGTCCTGACTCAACTTAATGTGCCAGGCTTTGTTGACTCCCTATGGGAGGCTTTAGAGGAGTGGATGGGGGTAGGTTGGGGGGGGTGGGGTGGAGCTGGAGAAGGGGAGGGAGGGGGAACTGTGGTTAGAATGATTGCCAAGTTCCACTAGTTAATACTTTGAGTTATGATTTTGTATTATTTGATGAGGAGGTACAGACTAGTGCACGAATCTGCGCACCAATGTACACACATACACAGTACCTGAAGAATGTTTCACTAGGAATCTAATGAATTTTCTCTATACCTTGATCTTGCCAAGAATACATTTAACTCATTTTGAAAATACCTTTAATTTTGCTTTTTTTTGGGCCTCCAGAGCAATTTTTCTTAAATCCTCAGTCTCTTTCTGTAGTTGTTCATTTTCTTCCTGAAGTTTCAGCCTTTGCTCACTGACAAAGCCACAGTTTTCCCTTTCAGACTCCAGTACAGTTTGAAGTTTTTGGATCATTTCATGAGAACGTGATATCTCTTCTGAAGAACTTTTTGTTTTTTTTAAAACAAATGAAACAGAACAGAAAAGATCAAGACATGTACATTTTACAATTTAGACTTCTGTTTTCTTTATTCTGAATCACTTCTTTTCACTTCATCATGGTGTTGAATATTGACCCCAGGCTATATCTACAGCTGTACTCTTTTTACTTTTGACTAATGTGGTTTCAAAATGTACATAAAACCAAGTAAATGCATTTAATTTAACAATTTAAGTAAGCTGACCTGATTTAGAAAATCAACATGAAATTTCTTCTGATTTTTTCCCTAATGTTGAGAATTGTTGCATTAAGAGAACAATGTGAACCCAATAGTAAACAGATGAAGGAGCTGCTAATCAAACTTTTACTTAATGTTAATACCATAGGAAAACACAACAGCTGGCACGCCTTTAATCCCAGCTCTTAGGAGGCAGAGGATCTCTGTGAGTTCGAGGCCAGCCTGGTCTACAGGCTTCAAAACAATACAGAGAAACACTGTCTCGAAAAACAAAACAAAAAAAAGAAAAAGAAAAACAAACAAACAAAGTAAAGTAAAATCAATCTGCATATTTCCTGCTATACTCCTTAGAACTAGGCTTTATAAATTTAAATTCTCTAAGCTTATTTTAGCACAGGTTAATAAGTTATTTTCTCAGCCATGGATTATTAGATCAGGAATTCTCTAAACATTTATTTTTCAATCAATATACTGCTAATTTTCATTCCTATTTTCTGAAATTTCTCTTTCAATTCCAGATAACAATCACTCTAAACATACTCTATTTTTCAGTTGTCACAGGAAACATGTAAATGCTACTAATATTGTGATGGCTTAATGAGAAATAGTGCTGGGCATTCATGCTTGCTATCCCAGCACATGGAAACCTGAGGCAGGAGGAATGCATTGACTTTGAATGCCAGCCTGGGCTACAGATTAAGTTCCAAGTTAGCATATGCTATATAATAAGACCTAGTCAAAATAAAAATCTAAAGAACTCAATTATTAGTTAAAAGTAACTTGAAAGGAGAGAAATTCTTAATACGCACAGTTTTTACCTGATGGCAGTTTTATTACCACAAGCCATAGCTTATGGTTCTATTCCAACCCTAACTTCCCCAATGCTTATAATTGGCTCTGAACTTCCATTTCTGTCCTGTTTAGACTTTTGCTTTTCTAGTTCTTCATATTCTTCTTAGTTTTAAGTTCTATATGAAATCATTCATTTCTGTAACATATGGTTTTAATTCTATATAAAATCATTAATTCCTATTAACACATGTAGCTATGTTTTCTTTTTTTTTTAACATTTTTTAAAATTTAGAAACAATTGTTTTACATATCAAGCCCTCTGTTTCCTCTCCATCCCATCCTCCCATGCCACCCACCAACTCCCCCAGCCCAACCCCTACCCACTCCCCAAGTATAGTGAGGCCTTCTATAGGGGACAATCAAAGTCTGTCACATCATTTGGGACAAGGCCCAGGGCCTCCTCCGTGTATCTAGGCTGAAACAGTATCCCTTCATAGGGAATGGGCTCCCAAAGTCCATTTGTGAAATCTGGCACTAGGGAAATGTTCAGAGATCCACAAAGATGACACCAACTAAGAATCTAAGCAGTAGAGGCCACCTTTGATGCCCTTTCCTTATAATGAGAATGATGACTACCTTAATTGCCATCCTAGAGCCTTCATCCAATAGCTGATGGAAGCAGAAGCAGACACCCATAGCTAAGCACTGAGCCATACTTCTAGAAACCAGTTTTAGAGAGGAGGAGTGATGAGCAAAGGAGTCAAGACTGTGCTGGAAAAACCCACAGAAACAGCTGGCCTGACCTAGTGAGAGTACAAGAACTTCAGTCGTAAAGCTGGGGAGTCAACGTTGGACCAAACCAAACCCTCTGAATGTGGGTGCCAGTTAGGAGGCCTGGGCAATCTATGGGACCTCTAACAGTGGAACCAGTATTTATCCCTAGTGCTACTTTTTCTTTTCAAATAGTAAAGTTCCAAAAATCAACTTCCTGATGAAATAGTATACACAGGCATTGGTCATAAAAGGACATTAGTATCAAAAGACATTGCAACAGAAACAACCATGTGTGTGCCTCCTAACAGAAGTGAATAATGTACCACCACCAGCAGCAGTAGCAGCAGCAAAATAGAAGAAAGAGAGACCACAAGAGATTAATAGAGACTTGAGAAACAGTGAAGTTAGCATTTTTGAAACTAGAACTGGGCTAGAGAATGCACACTCAAAAGGAATCTTCTGAATGATGTGATCATAAGCAAGTATTTATCAAGGATAGCCTGAAGATACTGGAATGCTCCCACTGCTTTCCCATGGGTTGGTGAGTACATAAGAAATGATGCTGGAGAGAAGCACATTGCTGTGGAGAATTTCTGGAAGCTTTGGGATCTCCCATTGTATCACCAATGCAAAAGAACTATACTAGGAAGAAGTCTACTAATATAAAGATGGATGAGCCTTTGTCCTATATGGAACATTTAAAATTATAAAAAGATGATTTTACATGTTAGAAACAGGGAAAAGCTTTCTACCCATTGCTCACAACCCATAAGCAGCACATGAAAAAACACACAATGAGGATGAATTCACACTGGGAAGAATTAGTATGGAAATATGCAAAATGGGAAATTGTTTAGATAAATTTTCATTCCATAATTTTAAAGGACTCACATAAAAAAAAAGCATCATTATATAATGTGGTGGTTTGGAGAATGGTCTCCATAGGCTCATATGTTTGAATACTTATCCTTAGTTGGTAGAATTATTTGGGAAGGATTAGGAGATATAATAGTCTTAATGAGGAGGTATGTCACTGGGGGTGAGCTTTGAGATTTCAAAAGCCCACCAGGCCCAGTTAGCGCTCTCTCTTTGCCTCCTGCCTGTGGATCAGGATGTAGCTGTCAGCTACCGTTCCAGTGCTATGCCTGCCTGCCTGCTACCAGGCTTCCCATGATTATGATCATGAACTAACCCCATGACACTGTAACCCCAGTTAAATGCTTTCTTTTATAAATTGCCTTGGTCATGGTGTCTCTTCACAGCAATAGAACAATAACTAAGACACTAATCAATATAAGTCTTAAGATGCTGTCTTCTGTTTATACTGATGGAAAAACTTCATGCATGTCAAGAATACTAGTGAAGACTTTTTAAAAAAATTTATTTTTATTTTTTTCTCCATTTTTAATTTGAATTAGAAATAAGATTGTCTTATATGTCAATCCCAGTTCCCTCTCTCTCCCTTCCTCCCCCCTCCAACTAAAACCCTACCTATCACATATCCTTTCTGCTCCCCAGGGAGGGTGAGGCCTTCCACAGGGGGGGTCTTCAGAGTCTGTCATATCCTTTGGGATAGGGTCTAGGCCCATCCCTGTTTGTCTTGGCTCAGGGAGTATCCCTCTATGTGGAATGGACTCCTAAAGTCCATTCCTATGCTAGGGATAAGTACTGATCTACTACAGGAGGACCCATAGATATCCTCACTGAAACCCATGTTCCTGGGGTCTGGATCAGTCCTGTGCTGTTTTCCCAGCTATCAGTCTGGGGACCAAGAGCTCCCCCTTGTTTAGGTCAGTTCCTATGCTAGGGATAAGTACTGATCTACTACAGGAGGACCCATAGATATCCTCACTGAAACCCATGTTCCTGGGGTCTGGATCAGTCCTGTGCTGTTTTCCCAGCTATCAGTCTGGGGACCAAGAGCTCCCCCTTGTTTAGGTCAGCTGTTTCTGTGGGTTTCACTAGCCTGGTCTGGACTGTGCTCATCACTAGTCCTTCTCTGCAACTGGATTCCAGTTCAGTTCAGTGATTAGTTGTAGGTGTCTGTTCCTACTTCTACCAGCTGCTGGATGAGGCTATAGGATGGCAATGTAAGACAGTCATCAATGTCATTATCAGGGGAGGGCATTTAAGGTAGCCACTTCTCTGTTGCTTAGAATGTTAGTTGGTGTCATCTTTGTAGATCTCTAGATGTTTCCCTAGTACCTGATTTCTCTTTAAACAAAAAATGTCTCCCTCTATTATGTATCTCCATTCTTGTTATCTTCTATTCTTCCCCCGACTCAACCTCTCTGCTCCCTCATGTCCTCCTCATCCCTCCTATTCTCCCCTTCTCATTCTCCTAGCTTCTTCCCCCCTCCCCCCATACTCCCAATTTGCTCAGGAGATCTTATCACTTTCCCCTTCTCCAGAGGAACATGTATGTCTCTCTTAGGGTCCTACTAGGAAGACTTTTTATATCAACTACGTACCTTAATATACACCAACAGAGAGACAAACTAGCATTTACAAATGTTTAACCAGACTAATTCAAAGAAAGAGAATGCTGTGTTTTTGTTATCATTCAATTCTAGAAAATTTTCTACTTCTGTCCTGATTTCTTTGATGACTCATGAAACAATGTTCAATTTCTATGAGTTTGTGTATTCTCTGAAGATCTAATTAATAAAATAAAATTTAAAAGGGAGACAATGTAGCAAAACATTATTTTAAGGTGTGTGACTTTTGTTCATGCTGCATTTGTTTAACTCTGTGAAGCTATGATTCTTTGTCTTTCTAAAGAACCTTATGGTCTAATAAAGCTCTGAACGGCCAACAACAAGGCAGGAGCAAGGATAGGCAGGCTTGGCAGACAGAGTATAAATAGAAGGAGAAACAAGAAAGAGAGGGAGCAATGAGAGAACAAGGGGAGGAGGACATCAGGGGCCAGCCACCCAGCCAACCAGGGAATAAGCGTGAAAGTAAGATATACAGAAGACAGAGAAAGATAAAAGCCCTGAGGTCAAAGATAGATGGAATAATTTAAGTTAGGAAAAGCTGGCAAGAAACAAGCTAACCTAAGGTTGGACATTCATAATTAACAATAAGCCTCCTTTTGTGATTTGAGTATTGGGTGGTGGGTTCCCCCAAAAGAGACAAGACAACAATTAACACCAATGAAATTCACTAGGGCATATTTTGAAAAATCTATGTTCTAATGAATTGGAAAAATCTAGAAAAATTTCTAGAAGTGACCTACCAAAACTTGTAAGTTAGATAACTAAAATAGATCTGTAGTGATGAAAATATATCAGTGATAAAAATTTTCTCAATTAAAAATACGACTGGATTCTATAGAAATTTAAAGAACCAATACCCATGTTCCTCAAACTATTGCATAAGATGGAAAGGGAAAGAATAGTGCTAAATTTATGTACAAAGTCAATATCACCCTGATATTAAAACCATATAAAGACATAACCAAATGAAAAAAATTTCTTGCTGAACGTCTCAATGAAATACTTGCCAACTGAATTTGACCCCACATCAAAAAGAACATTCAACATGACCAAGTCAGTTTCATTTTAGGAATGAAAAGCATGATTCAACACATTTATCTACAAATGTAATACATTACAATTGTTGATTCAAAAATGGAAATAATGTAATCATCTCAAAAGATGCAGAAAGGTCTTCAACAAAGGTCAACATCCCTTGATAAAAACCCAAAGAAATCAGGAATTCAAGGATTATACCTCAACATAATAAAAGCTACTCATGATAAAATAGCCAACATTATAGTAAATGGGAACAGGCTTCATGCATTTCCTTGAAAATCAGGAATGAGACAAAGTGTCAGCTCTTTCCACTTTTATTCTTCGTAGTGATTGGAGTCTTAACTATAGCAGTAGAGAAAGTAATAAAAAGGATACAGATTGAAAAGGAAGGCTCTTTGGGAGCCCTCTCCACATAGAGGGATACTCTCTCAGCCAAGACACAAGGGGGAGGGTCTAGTGCCTGCTCCAAATGATATGACAGACTTTGAAGATCACCCATGGAAAGCCTCATGGAATTTCTGGGGAGCAGATAGTGGCAGGGATAGAAGGCTGGTGGGGGGCAAGGGTGGAGGGGAGGGAGACTGAATGGAGATTGACATGTAAAAGAAGATTGTTTCTAATTTAAATTAAAAAAAGAAAAAAGAAAAGGAAGGCACTAAGTTATTTCTATTTGCAGAGGTATAATGTCATACAAAAGGGAATCTAACAACGCAACATAAAACCTCTTAGAAATGATAAATACTTTCAACAAAGCATCACGATATAAACACCAATGTAAGAAACCAGTGGCTTTCTTAATATACCAATATATAACAAATACTGAGAAAAACATAAGGCTAGCAATCTCTTAAAAAAATAACTTTAATATGCCTAAGCAAGGAAGCCAAAGAACTCTATAATGGAAAAAATAAAACTCTTGAAGAAGCTCAAGATTCTAGAAGTTAGGAAAAAAATTCTCAGGCTCATGGATCAAAAGAATTAACATAGTAAAAATGACTGAATTACTTCAAAGTCACGTACATATTCAATGCAATACCCTTAAAAATTCTACTGGCATTCTTCACAGAATTAGAAAAAAAGTGCTAAAATTCATAAAAGCACAAAAGACACTGAATAGTTAAAGCAATCCCAAGCAAAAAGAACAATGCTAGAAGTATCACGGTATCTTATTTCAAGTTATACTGCATAGTCACAGAAACAAAAACAGCAAGTTTCAAAAACTTTAGAGAAAAAAACCAAATCAAACTAAAACATAAAATATCCTCAGTAAGTGGTACTGGGGAAACTGGATCACATGCAGTAGAAGGAAACTCAGGTCCCTTTCTTTCAATTTGTACAAAAATCAATTAAAAGTAAATTAAAGACTTTAATGTTTAAAATTGTTAGGGAAGAACACATAAAAAATACCTCAAGATATCCGCATAGCAAGGACTATCTGAAAAATACAGTAATAGCTTAGAAAATAATAATAATAATTGATCTAAGAGATTATATGACATAAAATAAACTATACATAAAATCCAGGCTTCAGATTGGTCAAAAACATCATTGCCAATAATTTATCAGAGGATTATAATCTAGAATACATAAAAGAATGTGAAAAATGAAACAAAAACACTAAGTAATACAAAACTAATCATCTGATCAGTAAATTGGTTAATAGACCTCAAAAGAAATATAAATGGTCAGTAAATATATAGAAAAATATTCAACACCCTTAGCCATCAGGGAAATGCAAACTAAAATTTCTTTGTGATTTCCATCTCACCCGAAGAAAACTAAACAAAAGCTGGCAAGGCTGTGAGGAAGGAACGGTTCTTAGTCACTGATGGTTAGAATGTAAACTTTTCAGCCACTATGGAAATCAGTATGGAAGCCTCCAAATAAAAAACAAAAACACAAAAACAACAACAACAACAAAAAAAACAGCTATATAATCCAACTAAGAGGCATGTACATATATATGTAGGACACATACACATATTCTAAATCAGCATACCACAGAGATACTAGCACATTCTTTGCATCTCTATTCATAATAGCCAAGGATACTGAACCAGCCTAGTTGTTCACCAAGAGATGAATGGATAATGAAAAAAAATATATAAATACAGCAGTATTTCATTCAGCAATAAAGAAAAACAAAATCATATTTGCAAGATAGTTGATGCAACTAGAAATCACCGTGCCAAGCCAAGCAAGCCAGACCAAGATAATTTTACTGTATGTATTATTATGTATGTGGGTGTGAGAGGGAATAGAATTCTGAGGGTGCTAGGAAGATATATAAGGGGAGGGAGAGGAAAGCAGAAACGGGGTACTATTTAGTGGGTGAGAAGGAAACCAACCATAGGGTAGGAAGGAGACATAGAGGAGGGCAGTTGTGGGAGGGGAACAAACTACAAGATTATGACTCATGAGTATGAAAACGCTATCACTAAATGCATTATTTTGTATGCCAGCTTAAAAATTAATAAAAATAGAAAATATAAAAAGAACATATTTGGCTGTTTTTATAAGTTCTATAAAAAGGTAAATAATTTACCAAAACTCATGTGAATGCTTAAAATGTTAACATAGGAATTCCACTAAAAAACTTACTTAATTTCAAGTTGTTTTATTCTATTTTCTGCACTCTTTAGTCTTAGCTGAAGATCATCTTTTGTACGCTCTGCAGCAAGACATCTTTGGTGCATTTCTTCCAGTTTTCTGTAATCACCTTCATCCTGCTTGCCTTCACGGTAAATCTGAGGAAGAGGCTTATAAACATTACCTTATAGGAAGAAATTATCTCAATAAAAAATTCTGAGAAATAAAGTCATGACTATGTGTTCATCTCTTTCTAAATGCTATCAACTGACAGCTAAAAAATTTGAAATAATGCTCACTATAAACTATTCAACTAATACAGAAATGTAAAAGTGCTGCTGAAACTTTTAAAAAAATGCTTTTGCTTTCAAATGTCAATTTAAAAACAACTAGTGGTAGGGCGGGGTATGTAGCTCAATGGTAGAGCCCCACAATGAATAAAGCCGACTTTCACCCTAAAACATCAAAGAAAGAAGAAAGTATAGTTATTTAGTGAATATTCTTCAAGAAAATCTTCTATTGAAATACTCAAGTACAGTGTGTTTTATTGTAACTAGTAGATCTTAAAGTTCTAGAACTTTGCTCTGAGTTACCTGGGAAACAACATAGGTAAAACTGGAGTTACCTTTGTCAGGGGCAGTTGGTCAGCTACAGCCTGGGTTTCCTCTTATAGTACGGGGCCTAAATCCCTACAGGCCCTGAGGTCCAGGTCACATTTTCAGACAAATAATTCATCTAACTGCCCTCTCAAGACGACTGGCTTGCCAGTCCACCTGTGTTGTCCCCACTGGTAAGATTGCACCACCCTTTCTACATAGGTAGGATAGCAGTATGTCAGCACTCTTTGCTGGGCCACTGAGTGTCACTGCAGTCCTACAGCGCTATGGCCTTGGCTCACTGCTGTGTGGTTAATGGAGAACTGATTGCTGTGTCTTCTAAGTTTAGCACTGCACTAATATATGCCATGTAATATTAAAAAAATCATCCTGAAGCCTGATATATAGCTGGTAACATTCTAAATAGAACTTAAATGACATGAAGGAAATCTGGAAAGATCTACCTTTAGAAGGGTGGTAGCCAAAAAGTGTCACCCTTGGAACACATGTACATATGCTTATTTCTCCAAATGAAGCCATATTCTAGGTTCTATTTTGCAAATTACTGTTTTACTACCTGATTTTGTCATTATTTTTGACAACATGGATATATCACATACTTTGAATGTCATAGAGTTTGCCTTTCAAAGTCAAATCCTAACTTCACTGCCTAGTGTTTTTTAATACTGTGTAAGGTACTTAGTCTTTCTATACAAGTTACCAATAGCACTTTAAACATGGTAAGTGTTCATATTTGATTGCCTTTTGTTTCTCAAGGCACTTTAAAACAGTGGGACATTCACTGCTAATGAAAAAGCATGCAACTTTTTTTTTTTTGCATGCAACTATTTTTTAAGATGTAGTTTTTACTTCAAACATCGTTGGGGTATTTTATCTAATTATATTCTTTAAAAATATTTCATCTTATGTGTATGAGTGTTTTGCATGTAGGGTTGTGTATCTTGTTGAGTGCCCAGTGCCCACAGAGGTCAGGACAGGGCACTGGATCCCCTGGAACTGGAGTTACAAATGGGTGTGAACCTCCACATGGATGCTAGGAATTGAACTCAGATCTCTGGAAGAGCAGCCAGTGCCCTTAACCACTGATTTCTCTAGCTCCCTAATTACTATATTCTTAAAAGGTAAAATTCTGGGGCAGGGAAATAACTCAGTAAACTGGTTGTTGTATAAATACTCACATAAAAGCTGACTATGGAGGCATGTGCCTGTAATCCCTGCTATGGGGTGGCAGAAATTCATGTTATTTCTGAGGTTGCTGGCCAATTATCTAGCTGAGATGGTAAGTTATAGTTTTATTGAGGCACTATCTCAACAAATAAGGTAGAGGAAGATTGAGGAAGACACTCATGTTAACCTCTGGCCTCTGTACACACATGGATACCTGTAAACCTGCGCACACACACACACACACACACACACACACACACACACACACA